ACATTATTTTTAAACGTAGGTAGGTTTCTATTAGGTGGACAAGAGCCTGACTTTAAGCATCTAATACCCTAAATTTAATCTTAGCTCTGTCACTGATCAGCTTTTAGGCTATGGACAAGTTGCATAATTTCTTTGTATCTCAGTTTCTTCGTGAATAAAATGATGATACTGTAGCATCTAATTGGGAAAGTAACTGTGTGTCTATACAGATATGTTTTCTTCACACAATTTCAGGTATTTAGGGGATGTTTGTGTAAAGACTGCCAAAAAAAAAAAAGTGGAATTAATATAATTTTCTCTATACTGTTATTTCTCTGGCCTGATGATGCATATTTTATTTTTATTTTTTATTTTTTTTTTAAAGATTTTATTTATTTATTTGAGAGAGAGAATGAGAGAGAGCACATGAGAGTGGGGAGGGTCAGAGGGAGAAGCAGACTCCCCGCCAAGCAGGGAGCCCGATGCGGGACTCGATCCCGGGACTCCAGGATCATGACCTGAGCCAGAGGCAGTCGCTTAACCAACTGAGCCACCCAGGCGCCCCTGATGATGCATATTTTAATCTTAAAAATAAAACTATCAGTAATTTTGCCAGCAAAAATGGGTTTATTCAAGAATAGCAGAGAATTGCAATCTGGGACATGCAAGCTATGACAAAACCATACACAAGTCCTGAAAGCAAAGGAGAGAAAGCTTTTTTATAGAAGAGAGGGGGGAGTTGGGAAGGCTTTTATAAACAAAAAGTCCATTGGAGTAAACTGGGAGATTGAAGTATCGTTGGCTTCTCATTGGCTGAATTGTGACACTCTCTCATTGGCTGGCCTGTTGCCGAGGCAGGAGAAAATCTTTCTTTTTCCCACTTGGGTAGTAAAATGGCTAAAATACTATGGACTTGCAAGGTACCTCTCTTACTGTTGGGGGCCACAGTTGATGAGTGATGGGATGAGAAAAAGAGCCCCCTGCTGACCTCCCAACTCCATTTTAAACAAGGTTTCCTTTTGTTAATTTTCACACATGGATAGGAAAAAAATGATAATTTTAGTGAGAAATGATATATGTGTATATCTTTAGTAAGGACTTCAACTGAGAAAACAGCACTGGGATTTTTGCTATATTTCCAGTAGTCACCAGCAATACCTCTTACTGCTCACATACTAGACTGAAGATGGCACATCATCAGATTTACCTGGTAACTTAAAAAAATACAATGTCCATGTTCCATACTCCTCTGAACCCCATAAGCTGTTGATTCTGAAGGTCTAGAGTAAATCTGCAATGTCAGGTAATTCTAATTTGCAGTCAAATTGGAATGGTCACCATGAGGATCTCCTATCCTTCCTTCTCCTCTTTAATCTTAATGGTATCTCTTATTATATTCAATTATTATATTCTGTCCTTTCTGAAAAGCTAAGTGAAGGCATCCCAACTTTGTCCCTGTTGCTATGCATTCATTCACTTATTCTTTTTTTAATAAAGATATATTTTATTTTTTTTAAGATTATTCATTTGAGAGAGAAAGAGAGAAATAGTGAGCATTGAGCAGCTGGGAGGAGCAGAGGGAAAGGGAGAAGCAGGCTCCCCACTGAGCAGTGAGCCTGATGCGGGGCTCAATCCCAGGACCTTGAGATCAGGACCTGAACCGAAGGCACCTTCTTAATGGACTGAGCCACCCAGGCATCCCCATTCACTTATTCTTTTTTTTTTTTTTTAAAGATTTTATTTATTTATTTGAGAGAGAGAATGAGAGAGAGAGCACATGAGAGGGGGGAGGGTCAGAGGGAGAAGCAGACCCCCTGCTGAGCAAGGAGCCCGATATGGGACTCGATCCCGGGACTCCAGGATCATGACCTGAGCCAAAGGCAGTCGCTTAACCAACTGAGCCACCCAGGCGCCCCTTCCATTCACTTATTCTTGCCACAAATCCTGACTGAATGACTTTTGTGTGCCCAACACTGTTCTACCTGCTAGGGGCATTGTTTCCTGTTTGGTCTCAAGGCAGTACCTCTAAGTAACAGAGATTCAGACTGCCTGAGTCTTAATCCTGGGTGAATCTGATGTGCCAATTGCTTTTTCATGGTGGGCAGTAGATGCACGGTGGCCTTTCAGTTTCTGGAATATTCCAAATGGTTCAGAAATGCTTCTACCTCTGCCAGACATGCTTTGCTCTTGGTTTTCTTGGACCATTTACATTCTTAATTTCCACATACAAACTTAACTATCACTTTCGCAAGAAACTTTCTCCAGTCACCTTATCAAATCTTATTTCTCTGCTTTTTCTCAAGCATCCAGTTTTTGCCTTTCATAGAACTTACCACATGTTATAATTTTTCAGTTGTTTACTTTTTATATGTTGTCTCCCTGACTGCTGAGATTGCTATTAATAAAATAATAACATGTTTGTGAACTTACCAAGTGACAATACAATAAAGATCCCATGTTAAACCTCACAAAGAATCTGGGAACCGTTTGGAATATTCCAGAAACTGAAAGGCCACTGTGCACCTGCTGTCCACCGTGAGAAAGCAGTTGGCTCTTTCGAGAGGGTTATTGCCCAAGGCTCGAAGGTTGCTGAAGCATCTGCATCCCCTAAAGCCATTCTGTGCCTCTGGGTATGACAGCTCTCCCCTGAAGTGGTGGCCAGTGTTCCTGCCAAAGGCACATCAGGGTTCTCTGCTTAAGCTGTGACGAGCATGGCTAAAGCTACCCACCCGTGACATAATCTCTCGGGCAGTTACTTGCCTAGAACTTCTTCCTCGTTTTGATCCCATGTCTCCTTTTATGTAAAAACTTCACGTGATGCCGTGAGTCCAAAGCTGTGCCTCTTTATATTTGAAATGTCTTATAGAAGTTCTATTGAATCATTTCTTTTAGACTAATTTTTAGGCACATGTTGTTGCCCCATGGTTAAGAGTTGAAATCCAGGTCTTATTACAATTTACACTTTCACTTGGCAACTTAATTGCTATATGACTATATATATATTTAAATGTTGCATTAAAAATTAAACACAAACTTAGAGGCTTAAAAGAGCAGCCAATTTTATTAGTTCACACTTCTGTCATTCAGAAGTCTGGACACAGTATGACTAGAATCTCAGCCCAGGGTTGATTTCAACAAAGCTGAAATCAAGAACTCAGCTGGACCCTCATCCAGCTGAGCTAGAGCTCAAGGTAGTCCAAGGTAGTCCAAGCTCACATGATTATGGCAGAATTCAGTTCTTTGCATTGTAGTACTGAGTTTCCCATTTCCTTGTTGGCCGTCAGCCACGGGCTGCTCTCAGCAACTATAGACAGTCCTTTCTGTGTGGCGCCCTCAGTCTTCAAGCCAGCAGCAGAGAATCTCCCTCATGTTGAATCCTTCTCACTCTGGGAATGCTTTCTTCAGGCAGAGCCTGGTACTGTTGAAGGGCTCACGTTATTAGGTCATGCCGACAAGAAAATTTTCCTTTCTTAAGTTCAAATGTGCTGGATAACATAACCTAACCCTGAAGTGACTATCCCGTCAAATACAGCATGCCCAGCCACACTCGAAGGGAGCTGCAGAAACATTGGGGGCTATCTTAGAATTCTACCTAGTGCACCTGTCAAGACTTTATGCCATAGATTCCTTCTCTGCGAATCAAGGATGATAATAGGACTTGTCTTTGAATTGCTATAACGAATAAACGGGATGATTGATGTAAAGTGTTTGCTCTGGACACTAGCATGTGAAAGCTCTTTTAAAATATCAATACTGTTACACTGTTAATTCTACTACAAACACCACCAACATCTCCAATGCTGTATTCCTTAGGCATAAGTCTGTGTGGTCTGGGGCAGATGGCATATCCTTTATATTCATTTTCTCCCCCTTTTCTTCACTCTAAGATGATTATTTGACAAAGAGACCAAAGACCTCTTGGCTCCCTGGGAAGGAGATCCCTGGAAGATTTTCTTCCTCATGTTTCACTTAGGATATGATTCCTGGAGTGAATACAATGAGGCTTCTGTATGTATCCATTTTTCTCCAACACACACACACACCCCAGATGAACTTTTCAAAGAGAGACAAGTGATCATTTAATATGTGTTTTACAGTTAGATAAAACTGCATTTATACCCTGGCTCTATTAGGATATGTAACTTCAGGAAGCCTCTACTTCTTTACCTGTAATAAAGTTATATTAATGATGCCCACTGTACTGAATGGTGTTAGCACTGAACTACTCTATACTGACTTCAGATAAATCATAGCTATTGTTAGTAATACAAATATAGCACAATTTATCATACCACTTATGAAAACTACTCATGTTGAAAATTTTCAACCTCAAACACCAAAAAAACCCACATTTAATGTGCTATTTTACTTCGTTTTTCTAAGCTGGAGACAAAAGGCAAACATGACTAATTGTTCATTCTTGCTTCTATTCTGTCCAATTTATTCTGGGTGAAACTTTAAACCCTTTTCATCATAGGACATGAAGAGTGCTATATAGGTGTGGATTTTGATGGGTATGACATCTGTAGGCGTTCCAGTTACTTTTCCTTACCCTGAGCATTCAGGCTGATTGAGTCATGAATGGTAGTGGGCTGATCACTTCAATTCATGACATCTCTTGTTTCTCCACCTGAACCCCCCTACTCCAGATGTGGTGTCCCTACAAAGAACAAGGAAAGTGACACAGTTGCGAGCAACAGTATCAATAAATGCCTTTCATAAAACGGAAACTAAAATAGGGGGAGATCTATATGCTGCCTTAACACCTTAAAGAGCTTGAAATGGATTTGGTGACATCTGATGTTTCACTTTTTGGTATATTATCTCCAAGGTTGAGCCGTTTTTATTGTGTTTAAGGATAATATTGTCATTTCCCTTTTCCCTTCTTTTCTTTTTGAATGACATAGCATTATTTTCCAGAATTCCAAGTGCATTCCAAGTAAAGCCAGGCTCCATTGAAGGGTGGCTTTTGTTGTTTGATATAGACATTTTGATTGTATACTTAAAGCATTTAATATTCCAGCTTTGCTCAGTGGCAGTATCGTAGCCAATGAGGTTTATCCGAGGCGCGATTATTGCTAATTAAAGCATTTAATATTCCATTTTTGACTAAACAGAAACAGAGTTTATTCACTCAAGAAATACTGACTGAACACCTAGTTTCTGCCCAGCACACAGTTAGACACTGAAGATATAGATAGTTGGCATAGAGTTGTGTTAAAAGAATAGTCGGGAGCCAGATTGTCCAGAATTAGCACTTACTAGTTGGAGGGGCCTTGGGCAAACTACCTAATATCATTTTACTTCAGTTTGTTTATCTGTATAATGTAGATAATAATAGCACATGTCATAGATTATAATGAAGAATATTCAAGTTAATATTTGTAGAATATTTTTTTTAAAGATTTTATTTATTTATTTATTTGATAGCAAGAGAGAGTATGAGTGGGAGGAGGGGTAGAGGACAAGCAGACTCCCTGCTGAGTGTAGAGCCCAACACAGGGCTTGATCACAAGGCCATGAGATCATGACCTGAGCAGAAGTCAGATGCTTAACCGACTGAGCCACCCAGGCATCCGTTGTAAAATATTTTAAAACACTGCCTAGCACATAACTTACTTCTATGTAAGTTTTAAAAGCCATACTAAAACTGGAACATTGACTTTTATGTAGTTCACAGTCTTTGGGGGGGGACCCCTAAATGACTGTACTTCATTGTATGTTATTAATAATTAAATCTTCATCAAAGACACGTAGTGTAACACCTAATACAATTGGGACAGAGAGGTGTGAGGAGAATAAGAAAGCCTTCAAGGAAAGATGGTGCTTGATTTAAATTTTGAAGACTGAGTAGGAACTGATGAAGAATGGGGGAGAGAGATTTCCAGGCACTGTGTTCTACATTGAACAACACAGCCCACGGATGAGAACCATGAGGCTATGGGTGAGGGAGTCATGGGCAATAAGGATGGTGGGGATGTGTGTTGATTGTTTTGTTGTTGTTGTTGTTGTTTGTCTCTTTCCTTCCTGTGATGGTAGCAAAGCGTCCCTGAAGTACTAGGACCAGAAGTAGTTGCAATTACAGAGATCAGGCATACTGTGTTAGGAGAGTCATATCAGGAAGCATAAGGAGGAAAGAGGCTAAAGGTAGGGGAACTGTCCAGGAGCCTAAAGCAATAGGCATGGGCCTGATGAGTCAACAGCAGTGGGGTCTTGGTGGGAAAACAGATACTGTACTTGACTGATGAGAAGTGAGCAGCAGAGAGGAAATACATTTGGGCCACTGGGTGAAGAAACACAGGAAATTGATTTAGTACCCCTTAGTCATTCCTGGTGTAGTTCATCCATTCACATTGCATGTCAAAGAGAAAAAAAAATGTCATTATTTTTTGGCAGTTTCGATGGCAAATGTTGCATCAGCAGAAGTTCATGAATCAGTGGTATGCAACATTAGACTAAGGGCACTTGCCTTTATAATTAGAGAATTAGAGAAGAGTGGAGTTATAAAGCTTCTAATCCACACTTCCATGGATCAGAGAGATTAAGGATTTAGATGAGATTTAGGTACTTTGTTAGCCTCAGCACCACTAAAAGTGCATGAACTCTGTAATTAGTTAGACCTGATTTGAATGAGTCGATAGATCTGTTATCCTGGGAAAGTCACAGTTTTGTTTCTGTTTTCTCATCTGTAAAATTTACTTGGTTAATTGGCATTAGTCAGGCTTTGTCATTTGCTTGATGGCCACACAAAAGAACAGACACAATAACAAAGAGGGATGCTACTGATGGGCCCAACATCATGGCTCATACTTAGTAAGGCTGATCTAGCTAACTTTGGAATGTTCAAGTTACCAGCAAGAGACCAATGCTAAGCATTACTCCTCAAGGTGCCAGCCATCTACTGCATATCAGTTTGGGTCCCTTTTACCATGGAAGAGACAGTGGTTCATTCACATAGGAATAGATACTTCTGGGTATTGGTTTGCTTTTCCTGCCCACAAGAATTACTTGTATAGTAATTCTACCCTTATGTATATAACTAAGTGAAACTCTTACACATGTATATTAAAAGACATAAGTATGAGCCCCATTGTTCATACAAAATATTAGAAACAACACCTTACTGCCTGTCATTAGGAGAGTGGATGAATAAATAGACTATAATATAGTAATACAGTTGAAGGTGATACAGCAGTCAAAAACAGCAAAATGGATAGATGTTATAAAAAATATTATGTGAAAAGCATTACATTGATAATAATACACTTTTTTATGAAATTAAAAGTAACTGAGAGGATACATGTGTATAACAAAATAACTAGGAACTATAGTTAGTATTATATAACTATGTAGCTAAGTAACTGTACATATATATGTATACACACATCTTTAGGAATAAAACTATTTGAAAAAAGGAAGGAAATTACAAATACATGATTGAGAATGAAAATTTCTCAGGAGAGTCTTGAAGATAAGATGGTGAATCATTTGGTTAGATGTAGGCTATATTACAAGTCAGAACTTTATTTCAGATGGTAGATTCATGGTACTCATAACGTGATTCAAACCAACTAAGTCAGTAACTAAAAAAAAAATAAATAAATGAATGAGGATCATGCCTAAATTGATGGTGTCATCATCAAGAATTATAATAAGTATATTATCATCACAAATTATAATTCAATTTCATGCAGTGAAGTCCAAAGTGTGTGTGTACGTGTGTGTGTGTGTATCCATGTGTGTTTATGCTTGCAGAGAATTAAAGTCAATGGTGAATCAGAAAAGTGTTTCCTTAGAATATATATGCTTTTGGTCTTGGTGTATTTGTGATGGTTCTCAGATGTATACACAGTGTTTGGCAAGCCTCTTCTCAAAAGGTGGAAACCAGTTCCCCCGCCCTTGAGTGTGTGCCAGGCTTTGTGTCTTGCTTCTTATGAACGAAATGTGGTAGTAGTGATGGCAAGTGACTTTTAAAACATGACCTAAAATGCATAACAGCTTTTGACTTTCTCCTTTGGAACACTTGGTGGGAGAGAAGCCAGGCTTCCATACCATGAGACAGAGTTGCCACATTTAGCAAATAAAAGTACAGGACACAGTTACATTGAATTTCAGATAAACAAAGCATGTTTTTTTTTTTTTTTTTTAGTATAATTATGTCCCTTGCAATGTTGGGGACATACTTACACTAATTTTTTGTTTGTTTGTTTACCTGAAATCCAAATTTACCTAAGCATCCTATTCTTTACTTTAGGACACTCTTAACAATCAAGAGGTCTATAGGGCAAGGATTGGGGTTCCCTGCCAAAAGCCATCAGAGAGAGCCATCTTGGAGGCTGATCCTCCAGCCCCAGTCAAGCCTTTGGATGACTGCAGTTCTGGCTGATGCTTTGACATAAATGCCCTGAAAGACCCTCAGCCAGAATCACTCAGACAAGCCGCTCTTGAAGTACTGAACCACAGACACTGCAGAATAAGAAATACATGTTGTTTTATATTGCTAAGTTTTGAGGTAATTTGTTCCATAGTAATAACTTCTAAAGCAAATATCTCACCAATCATGGTTTCTAGAATTATAATCCAAAGAGGAGGGAACTGACATAGATCACTTGTTTTAAGATATTTCTCTCAATATTTAGTTGTTTGGTTTGTTTTAACCCCCACATCACTAGCCTTACATGGTAATTAATTCATGGAATTCTGACTTCTTTAAAAAATAGTCAGTTTTTAGAGTTCACTAAAACTGTCCTGTCCTGAAACAAATCAGAGTCCTTTTTATCTTCATGCAGCCACGTTTTATTTTCCTAATTCTGATTGAGATCTCAAGAGAATAGTAAAACGGTGTGCATTTTGATGGAAAGTAAAAGCTGTCATTTTATAAATGAGAGTGCTTCTATTTCTTAAAGTGAGAAAAATAACTTCCTTTCCCTACTCCCCATAGGATTATATGGGTCAGTTAGTTTTCTCTGCTTCATCATAAGCAGGTTCTGTGACCACTTTTTCTCTTTGTTGATTACTTGGCAGTTTCTTTTTCTATAATATGCCACATTCCATCATTTACCTTTGAATCCTACATAAATATTTGTCTCTAGAGATTCACCTTTTGTCTCGTTTCCATGTTTAACATCTGTGTGAGTATCTACTGCACCGAAAATTCACCACCGTTGTTTTGTGCTTTGTACTCCACCCCTCCTGCCCCCCCGCCCCCTGCTGGTCCATATACTCCAAAAAGAAATAAACTATGATTGTGGTTCATGTGGGAGAGTGAGAGCAAGATGATATGTATCCTGATGTTTAGGAGTCCTTGGTTACAACTTGCAAATACCCCTATCCTCCTCTTGAAACAGTTTACCAGCTTAAACTTCCCCAAGAGATTTCTTTGCCATAATAATGGCAGCATAATGGAAAAAGTACACACTGCAGGGCTACTTAGAGGTAAATGGAACAGCAAATGTGACTTCTCATACCATGCAGAATTCAGCGTGGAACACATGGTGGAAAATGCATCAACTTTCCTCCTAAAGAATACACAGCTGTTAATGAACTGCAGGACATTTCCTCCTATAGTATTTTACTCTTGATTCGTTTACTTCTTGGTATACTAAGTGTACTGTCATGGCAATCAGAAGACCTGGCATCATCCCTGGTTTTGCCACATTTAACCATCTGGTTTTTGAGAATCAATTCAAATATCCTCTTGGCTCTAGCAACTAAGTTGACCCTATATTCAACTTCTACTCCCCTTTTCGTAATCCCTATTTTATTTTTGTTTCCTATGGTTTTGACTTTTAATTTCTAGCTCAATATTCTATTATTTAATGAATGTCTTCTTATTTTAAACCAACTCAGATCCTTTGTGGGTCAAATATTGAAAATACGAAAAAAATGGGAGTGGCTGCTATCCTTATAATTTGAGGCTCTAACCTGGAGGAGAATCTAGACAATGTATATCAATTATAGTGCAAAATACTAATTTTCAGAATTATATAAAGTAGACATCTTTTAGCCATTTTTGTTTACTTGGTTGTTCAGTGTCCCTTCCGTGAAAAATGTTCCTTTTGGCGGACATTAACATATGATACAGAAATCATTATACTTCTTTTTTTTTTTTTTAAAGATTTTATTTATTTATTCATGAGAGAGAGAGAGAGGCAGAGCGAGA